GATATTCCTTAAGACAACTGCTGAAATTCCAGTTTGGGTTTGGACAGGCTGGCATTGGGGCTGGGCTGGTGCTAAATCTAGACTAAGGCCACCATAAGACCTCATTGGTTGTCTCTCTCTTGTCCTCCCATCCATACAGAGAAGACAAAGCCTCTCTGGCTGGGTGGCTGGCTTCTGTGCCTGACTTCCCTTTTTAAGGATTGTTCCTTCCTTACTCATCCCTGTGCCTTTCCTCTGCTTTCCTAGAAGCTTGCATACCTGGATAGCTTCACATTCTTTCTCTCATTATCTCCTTTGATACCAACATAGACCCTTTCTAGTTTTCCTTTTTTTTTCAGCTTCATGCTTGAGCCAGCCTAGGTGGAAATTGAAAAGAAGCCCACTAGGAGATGCAAGGGTCGAATGAAGCTTTTAGGGTTGAGGATAATCCATTGATGCAAGGATCCATCACAGGATTGTTAAAACAAATAAATAAACCTAGCAATTACCAGCCAGTAGAGAACATAGCAGCCTGACAGCCTAGGAAAAAATGTCTGCTGGGACAGTGACTAGCTACTGAAGGGAGGGGTGGTGGTGCCAGCAATTAAGCCAATCTACTAGAATGGAAGAAAGCTTTGAAGGGCTTAAGACAACTCAAGTTGGAAAATAGCAGAATCGCATTGAACTCGGAGAACAAGGGGCATTTGCAATGGGCTGGGAGTGGAAGGATATCAACAATGGTGAGTGGTTCTTACTGGCAATTGGCCAGCCAGAAAGCAAGGATACACCTGAATGTGGGAGATAATTTTTAGAGCTGGGCTAGGGGAAAACATCATTGTGGAGGTATAAGGACACATGTCAGCTACATTTACTACCCAACCCTATAAGATGCCGCCTTATATGTGAGCTGCTTAAACTGCCCTTGTAATAAGACATTAACAGCCAGCTGAATTGACTGACAGGGGGTAGAACCAGTCAGGAAGTAGTGATCCAATAATCCCGGATCTCAAAGATAGTATAGCTAGCATGCTGACCTGGTAAGAAGTGTTAAATAATAAGAATGTCACCTAGATGGGTTTATGAAAAACATTGTAATGTAATGCTGTGATTTACACTGTGTCTGCCCTTTTCCATATTGGCCAAAGGAAGATTAGCTGTTGTTCTGCTTTGGTTCAGGGCTGCTCAGCAAGTTGCCAATGCTTTGCTGAGACCTCGGTGTAGACTGTAGTTGTATGCATGCTTAATAAATGTATGTTGTATCTTCTAAGTGATTTGGTCAGTGTTGTCCAAACTTGGCCACTTTAAGATGAGTGGACTTCAACTCCCAGAATTCCCCAGCCAACCAACACTGCTGAACCAGGTTTTGGGCACAACATTTTGGTGCCATGTTGTGAATCAGAAGGATAAGAGGGGAGGCAGTCAATCCCTTGCAGCTCCTACCACTTACGAAGCCTTTTGGTTTCTTCCCCTTGCTTTTTCCTCTGAGGCCCTGAACCCATTTTGTTTGAAGATACGCTTGGGGGAATTTTAATTTGGCCAGGGAATTTTTGGTTTGGATTTGGCCCTGCTAGTTGTGGGCTAGTGGGACACTGCACAGACAGGTCAAGGAATGGTTCTGGGAAGGACCCTGTGAGGTGTGGGTTCCAGCTGAAAGCACCATGGCAGGCTCTTCTGCGTGGGCAAGTTGAGATAAGGTCCGGATTGTTGCCAGCTGACTCCGCAAGGACACGAATAATGGGCAGCTTCAGATCTATATGACTATACATAGCCAGTTGAGAAATGTATGTGTTTGTCTGTGCTAGTCTCTCTCCCTGTTGAATGATTTGATTGAACTTCAAGTGAACTTTCCTGCCTGGAGACCAGGGCAAGGTATCTCGTCCTCCCAGCCT